CTAAATTAGGGACGTGTAGCTTTGCGCGAAATAAAAAAAACTTGTTAAATTTCCTCTCGTTTTTACAGCACACACTAAAACTGATTGACATTGATTAACTCAATAATTAATCTATAAAACGGTACAAACCTAACTAGCTAGCTAAATATCTAATCAACTCACTGATTAGTTAACTCTGTAACTAATTTGTGTTCTTATATTTCAATAGATTTTTTTTTTTCAAGTATGAAGAAAATGTGAGACGTCACGTTAAATCCAGAATCTCAGGGAGTTTCTAGGTGTCACACATCATCACCACTTATGCGAAAACTTCCGCTAGCAAACAAGAGAAAATGATTAAATTAAAGTAATAAAATAATAATTCTCAAAAGTATTATTTCTTATTCTCGTTACAAAGCCTTATGCTATGGGAGCTTTACGTAATATATAATATACCAAAAAGTTTTATACGACAAAAAGTAATTTAAGACAAATTATACCAAATATATTGAGGAAGTACCGGAAGTGTCTATTAAAAGTATTGTTCAGAGACTATATACGAAAATAAATGGACTACTTTGTTCTCAAAGCGATTTGGAGAAGCTAAAGGTACAAATGCAAAAAAATTGCAAATGTATGATATAACGAATTAGAAAGCGTCCTCTGGTAACAAAAGACAGTACTTTTTGCCACTCCCTTAGATGCCATTTTCTTTTTCTAGTACAATCAAATAACCTGAGTGAAACCAAGTCGGTTTAATACATTCTAGCGTTCTCTTGGTCATACGGCGGCGACTGCGAAAATTGGGCGTTGACTTTATTGGTGGGTCTATGGTGTAATTCTAATAATGATGGCTACCTAAAGATTTAGTATTGTTGTTATATTAATATTGTGGACATGATTTTGTTCTGATAAATTATGGAGTGAAAATTTTTTCAGAAATTCACAATTTAGGACTTGTTAGCACTAGCCGATTTTTAGAGCTAGTTAAGCCTAATTAAGGCATAGATCTAGTCCTTGATAATGCGCTTCCAAGTTTCTACAAAAGTATAAAAAACTGGATATCATTCTCAATCTCACATTCTCAGGACAAACAAAAAAAGTTTTAAGCAAAATTATATTTATCATGATAATGCTGGTCCTAATCTTGTCTACACTGTTGATTGACGTAAACCAACTGGCTTAGTTGTGTGTATTCTAAATTTCAGTGTTAAACTTAATTGACAAACTGCAAACTTGGATTTTTCAGGACTAAGTTTTAACACTAACTGTAACAATTATGGTGAAGGATAAGACTCCAACTCTTTATCTTAATTTTCTACCTGTTTAGGTATTTAGATAGGCAGTGTAAAATGTCAAAAATTTATTTTATGACTGCAGAAATTCAAATCAAAAATGAGAAAAGGAAGTACAACCATCATGCAACATGTGTTTCTTGCCAAAACTTGTGTTAAAGAAGCTATTTAATAATACTTAGTATTTAAACTTATAGTGCCATTTATTTATCTTTTAATGTTACTTTTTATTCATAAGTTAGAAAACAAAAATTAACATGGAAAGTTGGAGCCTTCTCTTTCACCGTAACCATTAACCCTTTGATTGTAGCTGCTTTAAACGTGAGGAGAATTTTTGAGAGCTTTACGCTGTACACAGCACACTCTCATCCAATTGCTAGAGGCAGACTATCCTCTATATGGCAAATCAGCAGTCAGTGGGTTAAAATGTCAAGCTGTGGTAAAAAACTTGATTGAATAACGTCAGATATGTTACATTTCTGTAATGTACTACCATGATAGTTTTATTTTTTCTAAAAAAAGGTGATTTATTTATGGAATAAGTAGTCATTGGTGGTTGTGATTGCCAGCTTTTTACAGGAGTTTTAAAGATAAATGTGTGTAGGGGGAGGGTTTAAATTTGTACTTTACTTTAGGGTTGGTGTACAAGATCAGTATTTCGCTTAACATTTGAAGGACAAATTGCATACCTGCCATGAGTTTTTCCAGGAGTTTTCTTGATTTCATGGCCATGACTTGTATTCTCTTGGAAGACATAATGAAAAAAGCAAAATATCTGTTTATTATAATTATTTGGAGTCATTTAATGGCCACTGTAGTAGGCTAACTAAAATACATTGTATTTCTTGTTCTCACCACAGCATACCTATGTGAGTACCAGCAGATTAGCCTCATGTATGGGGAAGTCTGGTTCTGATATAAGTGTTTCCAAGTGAAGTTCACTCACTTGCTTTGTAACAGATTTTTTACATGACTGCAAGATGTCAGCTATGTACTTTATTCCGTAGAAATTCATGACAGCTTCATCAATGTTTTTCATGTCAGACATTGAAAGGGACAGTGATTGCTTTCAGTCTGGACCTTCACAAGTCAAGAAGGCTAAATATGCTACATCTTTATTTATTTATTGCTTATTACTAAGAAAAATTGCATTTACTTGGCCTGAAACATAGAAGTTTATCAGTAAATTTTGTATTTGCATTAATAAAATTCAATAATGGATATTTCTCTAATTTTATTTAACACCTACCATAAGAGCCATCTTGGGATCTTTATGTGGTCCAAAAAATGAGTCATTTAAGAAAAGGTTGGGTTGCTTTTATTAGACAAAATTATGTTTGGCACTGTTTTTGAGGTCTAGATCACTGGACCAGACCTGTGACCTGACCCGAGACCATGAGAGCCAGTATGCAGAAGTTAACTTGTAAAATGATGTAGTAATGAAACATACTTGAAATTTTCTAAATATGGTTGTGAATGTGATGGCTTAAGTGTAGCGATTAAGCTAAACCATGGGTCCATGTCGGATGAGGATAGAACTTATTTGAAGATGTTCCAATCCATTTGCATAACAGCTGAATTGGAAATTGATCGATTGATTACTGCATTGACAGCAGAACATTATCTTCAAGTTGTATAAGAAATCATTAGTTTTAATATTTTATGAAACTAACAGCATAGTAAACCTCAAAGATAGTGTTGATGTGGAAGCAGGTACACAATGCATTACAAGATTTCTCTATTGATTCTCAAATCAAAAATACCATTTCTGCAATGAACAGTAAATATAAGAAGGATGGTATAATGCCCAGTATGGTACCACCATTGTATAATTCATATTGATTTCATCATGTCATATTTTCATTAATACAAGCCTCAACATACATTTTTAGATCTAGGATCCAGGCCCGATATAGAAAAGTTATGGAATATATTTTGAGTCGGTTGTGTGGTTATGGTACGAAAAATAGTTTTATGCAAAAAACAAAGTATTTATTATTAAACTTCATAACATATTGAAGAAACTTCAATATGTGCAATTTTTAAAACAGTAGACTAAATAACTATAAGTTGTGTGGATTCTTGCAATGAATGAAAGTAAACTAAAAATAATCACTGCAATATTGATAGGCCAAGCAGGTTGTTTCAGAATAGGTTTAGTCAATTCATTACTCCAAAACTGTACAACGATAAACAAAGGCCTCTTGGTGTATCTCATATAACTTCATAATTGTTTGTACCGGGAAATAGGGGCTATATTTATTTACTTTCACAGCAAAGAGTGCATGCTAATGATCACATGATATCAACAACCACTTGGATAGTATTGCCTAAACTAACTGCCTTTTGTCTCATCTGAGTCTAAACATACACCCTGATTGGGTGAATTGAGAGAAAGAAAAAAACAAAATGGTGTGAGATTAGTAACGTGTTGTGCAACAGTGGTACTTCATTCCTGGAAAAACATGAAGTTAGTGCTGAATCCACCATTAAAATCCTAGAATTTTGATTTCAGTCTCAAAGAATGTGAAAATAGTTCCAGACTTAAAAGAGTCCAGAAATTTCAGTTTTATTTAGCACATCCCTACACACGAATAAAATGGGAGAAAATACTAGATGCCACGATGAAATTTTTAGTTCCCATGGTGTCCGGTATTTGTTGAGGTCTGCATTAATATATAGTTTTTGTTTTTTTAAGCCATACCAAGCTTCATTCATTGAGATCTATTGTAATGACTCTAAATCGCCATTTCCAGAAGGAATCTCCTGTCAAGCATCCTAGCAGCTTAGTACTACAACTTACAAGATGCTGGGCTGGCTCATGTAGCAGGTGTTGAAGTTTAGATCAAAAATGGCTGAGAGTTAATTTTCCTGATATTATTACATGTTTGAAATGAATAGAACATTCTTTTTTTAAAGTTGCTCCCATTTGAATTCCAATTTTAAAAAAATGTCCTTACTAAGAAGCTTGCATGACCTGCTTATTTAGTGGTTTTCCATAAACATACCTAATCTAAGTTGCCAGCTCTTGATATTTTTCAGTAAGCTTATTATTATTGGTATTAATAACTTAATATTCATAACTTGTAGCTTTTTTGTTGTTGAA